AAATACAGTGGGGGTGAATCTCAAATTATTTTGTTGATAACTTTTGATGTCCACTAAACTAGGTGTGAAAATGAACTCAGATCCACAAGTGCCACATTACCATGTAACCTGGTGAAGAAAACCATCGGTGTCAGCGTTTACAGACTAACTATATACACCAAAAGAATTACCGATTATTGGCATAAACGCCACTTATGTACACTTGCAGCACTATCTTTCTACAACATGAAACTTGTCATAACACACACATCATTAATATTCTAAGATCGTAGCTGTTCTAGCATCATCTGTACGTCGTCGGTCACGCCCGAGAGGTCACTTTTCTTCAGAGTTGCTACGAGGCTCTCCCACGACACCTCCACCCCCTTCCCTGCCAGCCACTCCCTCAGAACCTCCATTGCCATACTCTCTGGTTTGCCCTGACAATTAGCAGCAATGTTGGCCATCTTGTTCCCATCATTGTCTCGGAGGAGGTATGTGCCAAAGACATCGATCCTGGGTCCAACTCGTGACGGCAGTCGGATGTTGAGCAAATTTAGCATTGAAGGCCGTTCCACTGACACTGGAAGAAAGATACAACATCACACAGCAGGATAGGCTATTATGAATAATTTTACCTGGGTCCATTGCAGCAGTTTTCCCCGAGGCACACGAGGCACATTTGTCTACTGAAATAGTGACAATGTACAGACATAACCACACAATTAAACCCTGCAAGTGGCAGGTGTAATGTTACCTGGGTACATACCTAATTGTAGCAACAGATTTTAAATTTTAGTGGTTTTAGTGATCGTCATTTAATATTTCAGCAAGCAAGTGGTTTGAAATTGTCACTCAGTATAGTCTGTCCCTACCAGCGTCTTAATTTGAGATGGTCAAAAACACACCCAAAAGCAAATTCCTTGTCCTTGGTCTATACACATACATGCTGGTAAACACAGTAGACACCTAATAGCAATGTGAGATACGTACTACGGAATTGGAACACATTCATTTGTTGTGCAAACTTTAGCTTACTTACATGTCCGCAAGGCAACACATGTGGCATGTCAGCACCACGCCTTCAGGATGTACCTATGTATCTTCGCGGCTT